GGACTGGGGTATAGGCTTGTATGGTGTGCCCAGCTTTTACTTGGGTGCTAGGGATCAGAACTCAGGTCCTCAATTTACCCATTGAGCCATCTCTCCAGCTCATTGTTTTTGTTTTATTTTTTATTTTCTGATTTAGTGCCTCACTCTATGGCCCAGGTTGACTTGGAGCTCACTATGTGATCTAGACTGATGTCTAACTTATGGTGAACCTCCAGCCTCAGCCTTTCAAGTGCTAGTGTCTCAGGCATAAGCCACCATCCCTGGCTCTATCCACCTCTGAATGTCATAGGAACAAACCTTCTGTGTAATTGGCCTTGCCTTTCACACATACCCCTGCCCTTTTTGTCTTCCCTGTTCCCACACAGGTTATAACAGTTTTGTAAAAGTAGGCCGGGACTGGGGAGGCAGTTCAGCGGGTAAAGGCTCACTGCTGCGATGCCTGACCCACATGGTAGGAGAGAACCAGCTCCTGAAAGATAGTCTCTGCCTTTCAGACATGCACCATGACAAGTACATTCACACCGTCAGTGTTAAACTTTAAAAATCTATTTATTGAGACAGGGTCTTATTGTATAAATAGCCTTGGGTTCCTGGAACTAAAAGTGTGTGCCAAGCTTATTATATGTGTGTGTGCGCTCGTGTGTGTGTGTATAGGTATTCTGTCAGTGTATGTGTTTGTACAAATGTGTGCAAGACCAGAAGAAAACGTTAGATTTCCTGGGACTGTAGATACAGACAGTTGAGACCTGTTGTATGGGTGCTGGGATTCGAACCTGGGCACTCAGGAAGAGCAATCAGTGTTCTAACAGCAGAATCATCGTTTCTTCAGCCTCTCTTCTGGCTTCTGCATACAGTATACATAGATACATGCAGGCAAAACATGTAAAAGTTTTTTTTTTTTTTCAAATAAGAAAGTAGTCTATTTGAGGCCCTTCCTTGCTCTTCCCCTCCTCCAGAATGAGCTCTTCCCCATCATACCCCTGCTTTCCACCACAGCTTCCTGCCAGAGGCTCTACAGTCCACACACTGAGGGGAAGGGCATCAACAGCAGTGAAGCTGAACTTTCCTTCCCGTGGGTTCACTAGGAACTGCTGGTGTTTGCGTTCATTCACCTGGAGGTGTAGACACTCCTTTACCTGCCAAAACACCACCCTTCCTCCCATGGTTCCTCTTTTTCTGGCTTTGGGATTCTTCAGACCAAGAATAGCCTGCCTGTGTTATTGTCATTTTTGTTTTTCTTTTGAGACCAGTTTGCTCTGTGTAGGCTGGAGTCCTTCTGGATTCATTCTGCCTTATGAAGTCTTTTGCTTTATCTATAAGTGAAGTCGGGACCCCTAAGGAAGAGCCAGAATTCCACCCTGTCTTAGTCTCCTTGCTCTGGGATCACAGGCATGGTATCATCTACCATGTTCAGTGTTCACATGGTATAGCCCAGTGGAGCTGGGTCCGGTTTAGAAGCTGATCTTTTTTTACATGGAGTTGGACCCACTTAGGAGAGGCACATTACACCCAGAGAATACTCAGCTGCCCATGGAGTATTTATGCCCCCTTTTGCCCCGTGTCCACTCAGAACAAAGTCATGGCTTCAATGTTTATTGTCCTAGCCATGGGATTCGGTAACACCATCAAGACTCTGGGCATCTTTGTAAAAAAATAAAAATAATAATGATAATTTGATCCTTATTTGAGACTGGAATCTCCAAGCTGATGCTTCCTGTATGACACAGCAGTGTAGGCCTGTGTGGTTCCTGGAGGAGATTTCTATTTTCCTTGAAGATAGAAAAGTCTGTCCTGTGAGAGGGTGTAACTGAGCTCAGTTTCTCAGAACAAGCCTGGGAGCAAATGCCCAGAGCCGTGTACCTGGTGCTGGCAGAGAGGTCTCCCTCTGCTCACTGTCTGAGCACTCTGCCAGTGGCCAGCTCCACTCCACCGGAGTTGCTTGGCTTTGGGTCTCATTCTGTGTCTAATGGGAGAGCTTCCTCCGCTTTTGTAAGCGGCCCTGCCTGCAGGATGGCTGGCATCTGCCTGCAGGATGGCTGGCACGGCAGTTGTAGTTTTTGCAGTGCCAGTGGTGTGGCTTGGGAAGGTGACAGGATCAAATCTTAAGGTTTTCCCAGTAGTTCATCTCAGTGTCGGGTGTGACTTTCAAGAAACAGTAAAATAGCGTGCCACGTTTATTTGCTGGGCGTGACTGGCTGGGGACAGAGGCGTATTTACTCAGGTGTGTCTTCATAAAGGGCTTCTTTCTGCCCTGCACCATGTGCAGGTCCTGGGAAGATGGTTATTCCAGTAGCCCTAGAGAAGGAAGCACAGACTCGGTGGATCAGGGCAGCTCTCCTCTGTCTGTCCTCTGACCTTTGTGGGCATAGGAAAGTGAGAATCCACACAATGAATCGATGAATTGTTTCCCCTGTAAAAATCATGACTTGGAAACTTCTGAAAATAGCACAAAACACACCCTGTCTTGTCAGCCAAACCTTGGCAGTGGCCTGTCCCTGTCTTTAGCTGGGACCAATGTTATATTTGTTTTTTAAGATTTATTTATTGGGCTGGAGAGATGGCTCAGCAGTTAAGAGCATTGCCTGCTCTTCCAAAGGTCCTGAGTTCAATTCCCAGCAACCACATGGTGGCTCACAACCATCTGTAATGGGGTCTGGTGCCCTCTTCTGGCCTGCAGGCATATACTCAGACACAATACATAATAAATAAATAAATATTTTTTAAAAAAAGATTTATTTACTGTGAATACAGTGTTCTGCCTGAATGGATCCCACCAGAAGAGGGCACCATATCTCATTATAGATGGTTGTGAGCCACCATGTGGTTGCTGGGAATTGAATTCATGACCTCTGGAAGGACAGCCAGTGCTCTTAACCTCTGAACGCTCTCTCCAGCCCCAGAGCCAATGATTTAGAAGGCTTTTGCCCCAGGTATGTCCCTTTATATATAAAACTTAGCTCCTTTCTTGACTGGAGCAGGTGCTGGGTTTAAATTCTGTTTGAAAGTGTTTGAATTTCACAGATGCGAAAACTATATTAGTTGGAGAAGCTGGAATCAGCAGTGGGGAACTTAATAGAGGGCTTAGGACTGGAGAGATGACTCAGAGTTCAAATCCCAGCACTCGAATTAGGCAGCTCATAAACATCTGTAACTCTCGTTACAAGGAATCTGACACCTTCTGGACTCCGGGGTACCGCACAGGCCAACACATACACTCAGACACACCTGCACACTCACAAATAAAGAGGTTGCTGTGTAAGACATTGCATTTGCTCTTGAAATGGCACTGCATTAGAGTAAATTCCTAGAATTAATACCGTTATAGCAGGAGCTGTGCTTGGTAGAGAATCTGGGTCTCTGTCAAGAGCATTCTGTGTCTTTTCTGTGCATTGACTGTATTTCAGCTGTGTTCTGGCCTTTCCAGGTGCCCCAGAGACTTGACGGTGCCTCGCCAAAAATGAGTGATAATGTTTGTACTTGAATCTAGCTTCTGATAGTAGAATTTTATATTTTGTAAGAGATACAAATTAGGAAAGATGAAAAGAACCTTTTAGAAAACACCATTAAAGAAAGTTGGCTTGATTGTAGGACTCAACCAGTGGATTGAGCACCAGAGTCACTTCAAGACTAACAGCTGTTCAGTTTGCAGATTCTCCTCATAGACAATATTTAGGTAAATCACTGATAGAGCTGGCCAGCTTGAACTGCCTCCTTCCTTGTAGAACACAGCAGGTCCCCTCCTGAGGAATTGTCCCTGTAGCTGTGGTTTGGAATGTGGCCTTTGAACTCCTTATCCCCTGCCCCCACACCCTCAGCCTCTACTTCCTTAGTGCTGGGTTTGTGGGTGAGTGCCGAGACACTGGTGTCTTAGAAACAGGGTCTCCATCTTGGGCACCATTGACTTTGGAAGCTGTTCCTCACCTGGAGGCTGCCCTGTATTGCAGGACACTTAGCAGTACCACAGTCTCTACCCAGTAGCAGCCCCCACCTCACCCACCTGCCGTAATCACAACCAAAAATGTCTTGACCTTGCCAGATGCCTCTTAGGCAGAATCACCTGTGGCTGAGAGTCCTCTCCAGCAAATACTGCTGAGCACATAGCTCCTTCCATCCAGGAACTGGTCCTCACAAAGTGAGACACAGAGCCTGCCTCCACGTCACATGCAGGCACCTGGAATCCCTGATGCTCAGTACAGAGGGCCCCCGGGCTGAGGTCCTAAATGTGTGGGGTAATGGTCTCTGCTCATCCTTTGTCTGCAGTGCTGGCTTTGTGGTAATTAGGTTCTGTGAGAAGTCTCCCTCTGATTCCCCCTCAGATTCCCTGGGTCCACTTTGGGGACAAACAGCAGGATTATCTCCTATCCCCTTTCCCTCAGTGCTGGCCACAGATTGCTTGTGTCAGTACAAACTAGATTTTGAGCTGGTTGACACTGTGGCTGTGAAGGGCTGTAAAAGGGAAAGTCAACCCCAGGAGTAGGTGCTCAGTGCACCAGGGGGATCAGAAGACTGCAAGGGAGAGGAGGCGCCTGGGTTGTGCAGGCTGAATAGGGCGTACAGGGGCTGAGGATGCTGCAGGCAAGTGGGGCAGCTCATTGGGTTCTGAAGACTGATAGCTCAGTCCTGTTCTAGTGCAAAAGAGGAACAAGAGATTAGAGGTAGGGGAGAGGCCGAATTCAGATATGGTCCTTGAGCAGTTGAGTGGGGACAAGACTTGGCTAGGTAGGTGTGGAGTGACTCTGAAGGACAGTCCAGGAGAGGGGCTGGAGGCTATGCAGAGAACCCAGCCTAATGGTGAGATCCAGAACTGTTGTGTGGTCATGGGGTTAAGGGGAGATGGATCTGCAGAGGGAACCTGGTCCCCAAACCTCAGGTCTAGTAGGAGGACACAGCCATGTCCCTGGCTAGAGAGAGGACATTGCCCTTAGCTTGGAAAAATAGAGACTTAAGGTTTTATTTGAGAGAGATTTTTTTCCACTTTTATATACATTTTTTTCCTCTAGGAAATAGACAGACGGTTGGAAAAAAAACTGAAGATCTCACAAAAGGAGAGGTAAGGCTGATGTCTGGCGTGAAGGCTCATGCTCTCTGCCACTGGAGAGCTGGGCAGGCAGTGTTCCCCAGCAGGCTGATAACTTTAGAAGGTTAGGCTCCTGGGCACTAGCTCTTCAATCCCAGTAGAAGACCAGGACCCTGGATTGAGGCTTTGGGATGAGGCTAGGTGGGCTCTGTGTGAGGTCATCTCATTGACAGCGGCAAGGTTTGGGTTTAGCTGTGACTGCCCCGTGACTCTGAGGTGGGGTGAGTTGTTTTTCCCTCTGGACATCGGTATCTTCTGTAATGAAGAGTTTGGACAGATGGCTTCTCTGTGGCCTTTGGCGTGCACTTTAGGCTGTTTTGAGGTGTCTTGGAAGGGAAGATTCTTGGAAATTCTTGCGAGACCTTTAATAATTGCTCTCTCACATCTATCCGTGCAGCATGGAAAATGGGTTTCAGAGTGGGTACTGGGCTTAGGTAACAGGGACAAGCAACAGAGTAGAACCAGCTACGTCATTCCCCCAGGGGATTCTGGGAGGCCCCTGCCCCACACTGGCTTTCCAGACTCCCTGCTGTTTGTGATGAGACTGCTGGCTCCTTTCCTTTTCCCAGGAGCTGCTTCCTATGGTCATTGTTCCATGCTGCTCCCACCCCTCCAGGACCTTTCCACTCGACTCAGAGCACGTAGCTTCTACCCTTCCTGACAACCCAGGCTCTGGCGAAGGTCTCAGTGGTTGTGACAGGTCTGGGGTGGCCTGGTGGCTGGTGTGTTAATCTTGCCTTGCTCCAGTTCTCATCTGTGGCATCTGTTTCCTTCCTCCCTGTGTTGTTGGCCTCTTTGTGTTTGGGGAATTTCACCTTTGCTTGTGGCCACCTGACATTGATGTGCACATCCACTAACCTTGGACAATGCTTTTCTTTTGAGCATTTGCCAAGCACTGTTTCTAGGACCGGCCTTCGCCCTAGCCCCGCCGCTGCCCATCAGAACAGAGAGCCCTAGTAAGGGAGATTTCTCTGCTCAAAGGCTCTTGTGTGGAGGTGACTTGCTTGTCTGGTGCAGCCTGTCTCTGAGAGGCACAGGTCACTGGCCAGAAGGCAGAGAAAGTTTGATAAATGTCTTGCTGTTGCCAGATAGGGTGGCATAGCAGGTGCCTATATATTGTCTTATTTTGAGCACACGCTGTAGGAGACCTGGACGGAGGGGCTCCCAGCTCACTAGCCTCTCATTCTCTGGTCTGTGTAGGGAAGCTGGGGTTTTCATCAAAGTCGTTGGATTTTGGGTATGGAATGTTTGGTGTCAAGGGCCAAACGGTGCTTGCTGGGCCTGTTGTGCGCATAGAGAGGACGTCCTAGGACACAAGGTGGTGAACTGGCCCCTGCAGAGTTAGATCTGTGGAGCAGGTTCTGTGCCCTGCAGAGCTAGTGGCAAGGTGACGTTTGAGGAGTGGGTGTGCAGTCGTGGTCCTGGGCCGTGACTAGTTAGAAGGAGGACAGTGGTGAGGAGGGTGTGGGCTTGGATGGGCCTTCCGGTCCTTGTGGGGTTTGTGAAGTTGTGTTTGCTCTTTGTCAGCAGGAAATCCAAATCTCCTCCCAAAGTGCCCATTGTGATTCAAGACGATAGCCTTCCCACGGGGCCCCCTCCACAGATCCGCATCCTCAAGAGGCCCACCAGCAACGGTGTGCTCAGCAGCCCCAACTCCACCAGCAGGCCAGCCCTTCCAGTCAAGTCCCTAGCGCAGCGGGAGGCAGAGTACGCAGAGGCCAGGAGACGGATCTTGGGCAGTGCCAGCCCTGAGGAGGAGCAGGAGAAACCCATCCTTGACAGGTGAGTGTGGCTGCCAGCAGTGGCAGGGCAACGGGAGGAACAGGTAGAGTGTACCCCACACCAACCTGCAGGGTACCTTTATGTGGGTTCTGGGAATCCAACTGAGGTCCTCAACTTGAGAGGCAAGTACTGTATTAGCGAAGCTCTCTTCAGCCAAGGGGTACTGTAGGGTGTTAAGTGGTTGGCTGATGGGCCCCCTCCACAGCTACAGGCGCCAGGAAGCAGGCTGCACAGGGAACAGATGATGGGCTTTGACTTGGGCTTTGTCAGCCGCACTCTTTACAGCTACTTCACCTGATGTCTGGTCTGAGAAGTAGGGTAATGGTCATACCTGTCTTGCCAGCCAGCCATTGGGTACATACTTACCAGTGAACAGATGGCCATTAAGGTGCCAAGTTCTGCCCAGGACCCCAGAAAAGTTCAGTGTTTAGGTGCTGGGTCTCCAGCAGACCCGTGTGAGTTTTTGCTAAAATTTTAATATTTCACTTATGTCTTTTTATTATTATTTTAGATTTGTATTATGTGTGTTTCTTTCTGATAATATAACATTTGTTAAAAATGCCTTTGGAACTGGATGGTGGTAGTGCTTAATCCCAGCACTGGAGAGGCAGAGGCTGGAGGATCTTTATGAGTTTGAGGCCAAGCTGGTCTACAGAGTGAGTTCCAGATCATCCAAAGCTAGAGAGAAACTCTGTCTCAAAAAAAGAGGCAATCAAAAAAACCCAAAAACCTGCCTTAGGAGGCTGAAGACACACAGCTTAGTCAGTCTTAGAGTGCTTGCCACACAAGCATTGGGAACCTCAGTTTGGATGCCCAGTACCTACATGAAAGCTGGGCACAGGCTGCTGAGATGGCTCAGCAGGTAAGGGCACAGGGTGCCAAGCCTGGCTGCCTAAGTCCAGTTTCTGGAACCTTCCCACCACCTGCCGGGTGTTCTCTGGCTTTCGTACTCAGGCTTTGGGGTGCACGTGGACGCCCGTGTACATGCACGCAGTTCAAAATTGTTTTTGGTTTTTTGAGACAGGGTTTCTCTGTGGTTTTGGAGTCTGTCCTGGAACTAGCTCTTGTAGACCAGGCTGGTCTCGAACTCACAGAGATCCGCCTGCCTCTGCCTCCCAAGTGCTGGTACTAAAGGCGTGCGCCACCACCACCCGGCTCAAAATTGTTTTTAAAAAAGAAATTGAAGGTTGAGGAAAATACCAGATGTCACAGAAGTGCACACGGGGACACACAAAGCCTGTTTTTGAGAAAGGGTCTCCTGTAGCTCAGGCTAGCCTCAGACTCACTACTGTATAAAGGATAACCTTAAATGCTGGTCCTTCTTTCTCTACCTCCATACCGCTGGGATTCCAGGCATGTACCACCTCACCTGGTTTACATAGAACTGGAATCAACCTAGGCCTGCATACATGCTAGGCAAGCACTCTGCTAAGACACAGATCCAGCCCATACTTTTTGTATGCCTCTTTTGAGACAGTTTTTCCCTGTAGCCTAGGCTGACCTGACAGTCGTCCTGTCTCAACCTCCCCGGAGGTAGGGGTACAAACACACCACACCAGACTGTTCTTTCTTTTTTCCCCAGTGTTGGGGACTGCATGGTTGGCCTCAAAGCCGGTTAGGCAGGCAGCCTGCCTCTGAGCCTGGCCCTAGTCTTCTTCCCTGAGGCTGTCTTTGGCTTGCTATTCTGGGCTTGGACAGTTGATTGAGTTCCTTGTCTATCCCTGCTTGGTGATGTTTTGGTTGCTTTTTGGCTTTTTGGAACCAGGTTCTCACACATGCTAGCGTAGAATTCAGTGTAGCCCAGCCAGCATTGCACTCTGGGTGGTCCTTCAGCCTCCCTAGCACTGTTACAGGCGTGTGTCACCATGTCCAGTGCTGTTTGTCTTGAAGGAACCTCCGTTCTGTTTTCTCCTCTTAGTCTGCACCTGTCTGGAGTGGGAAAAGTCCATTTCCTTCTGTCTTCTCTAGTACTAGGAGTCAGCAGCTAGCCTCGTGGTTTGGAGGGAAGCAGGAGGCAGACAGGTGGGTGCCAGTTCACTCCTGAGTGCACAGCTAGGGGCCCAACACTGGAGCAGTCTGTTAGCTCTGTGGGAGATGTGCTGCCATAGCCACTCCTCCCTCCATGGGATCGGGTGCACACACTCCCTCAGCTCACAAATGAGAAGGGGGCAGTGCTGTAACTGCTAGGAGTTAACACAGACCATGGACCATTACCTCCTTCCCACAGGAGCTGCCAAAGTGGAAAATGTCCCTAGTCTGCTTGCCAAAGTAGCAGCCTTGGCATCTCCAGTTGGCTGCTAACCCCAACCTCTGTCATGGGTTGATTTTTTTTTTTTTTTTTTTTTTAAGGTTGGGGACTTCAGGCTGGGAGGGGGCTCAGTTGACATTAGTGCTGTAAGACAAGCATGAGGACCCCAGCCTGAATCCCCAGCACCCACATAAAAGCCAAACAAGGCTACAAGTGGGTGGGGCAGAGGGGTGTGAAGGGCTTAAAAGGATCCCTGGAGCTCATTGACCAGCCAACCTAGTCAGTGAGTTCCAGGTTCAGTGACTTGAAGAATAAGATAGAGAGCAGGGGAGGAGGACACTTGACAATATTTGGCCAGACATAAACACTTGTGCATACATGTCCCCACACTCAACAAACAACACACACAAAACAATTATTTGAGCATTTTTTATATCCTCAAGGGCTTCTTCCTCTTATCTTCTTTTAGGCCAACCAGGATCTCCCAACCCGAAGACAGCAGGCAGCCCAGTAATGTGATCAGACAGCCTTTGGGTCCTGATGGGTCACAAGGCTTCAAACAGCGCAGATAAATGCAGGCAAGAAAGGATGCCGCTGCCGCCACCATCGCCTCCTGGATTGTCTGCCATGGGTCGCACTGCCGTGGCAGACGTCTGGACTTGAGCAGAGGGAACGACCTGACTTACTTGCACTGTGATCCCCCTTGCTCCGCCCACTGTGACCTTGAACCCCATGCACTGTGACCTCTGCCTCCCCCCCTTCCCACTGTGATTGGCGTGTTGACAAGGGCTGTCCTAAGTCAATAGAAAGGGAAAGGGTGGGGATTAGGGGAGGATTGGGGGAACCTACCAAGGACTCAGAGTAGAGGGTCAGACAGTGCCACTTGGCCACTTGGGGTAAAGCCAGTGCCAGCAATAACAGTTTATCATGCTCATTAATTTGGGATTTCAAAAGACAAATGAAAACTCCCCCACCCACCCCAAGTGCATGTCGCCATCACTTAAAAGGAAGTTCCATTGAAAATACCTTTCCTTTTTTTTTTCTTCCTATTTTTGTTTATTATACAAATATCTGATTTGCAAGAAAAAGTGCATGGAAGGGGTTTCAGCAGTTTAATGAATTTTTAATTGAGAAGGGTAGTTTGGTAGTCACTTGAGGATGTTTCTAGGAAATTTGCTAGAAACATTAACCAATAGGATTTTGGTGAGCTTAGCTTCTGTATTCCTACTGCCGCCCAGAAAAGGCGGGGCTCTGGAGCCCCCAGTAGATGAGCACTGTGCCTATATTGCCTTCCTCCAGCTAAGTCCCAACTAAGTTACCTAGAGACAGCTCAGAGAGCCTGGGGGAGGCGCCAGCCCCACCTCTAGTATTGTGGGAGATGGGGAAAGTGACAGACTTCCCCTTCCCATACCCCTCAGGGTGGCTCCCTACCAGCCAGGCTTGCTGTGTCTAGAGGCGGACAGGACAGGGAGTGTTGGGGAGGAGACACACTCTGGGCTCAGAATCAGGCAGTGGTGGCACTTGTCCAGTGCTTGCTGTCAGCACAAGCCCAGGGGAGCCTGACTCAGAACTCCAGGCCATCCCTTCCAGCAAGACTGGAGAGCTTAAGGATATGTGGCGTGCCACATCTGTGATGGCCCTGGCTCAGAAACTGGTACGTTTCCCCAGTGAAACGAGTACCACAGTAGAACGGTTGGAGAAGGGTTGGGGAAAGAGAACTTGCATTGCAGAGGCAGATAGATGGTTGACAGGCCTCTCAGAGGCCTCGACTGCCCTTTCTCTTAGCAGAATGAGGCTGGTATGAAGGCCATTTCTGTCCCCAAGCCTGGAGATTTGCTTTGGTTCCTGATAGGGAGAGGCTTGAGAGGGCAGCTGTGTCCACTGGGTGCTCTCAGGCTTCGCAGTCTTTCCTGTGCCCTTCGCCTTATCCCTCAGCCAGCCTGACAGCCTCCCCTCTCCTGGCCAGCACACAGGTTTGGGAGTGGGTGGCGTGGGGTGGGATTAGGGCAGCTATGGTGGTTAAAGTGATGAGCTGAGTTTTGCAGGATCCTACCACCTTTGGGTCCCCTGGCTTATGCCCCTTACGCCCACAACATCCTCCCCTTGGGAAGAATCTCTTCCGTAGCATGGCCATAGACCTGCCTGAAACCAGGGGCCTTCTGCAAGCCAGCTGGAGCAGAGCCTCAGGAGGAGGGCTGGCCACCCCCTTAAATGCAAGTAGGGAGTTGGCTGTTAGCTCATAGACTAGGGCCCACCCACAGGGGCTAGTGGTTTCTGGTTGGAGGACAGACTGTCCTTTGGAGAAGGGTGCAGAAACCCTGCTTGCCCCACCCCCTCTAGTAGGAGCTAAGGGCAGCTGGTGTCTGCATATTGAGAGCTTGTGGGAGTGGCTCTCCCATCTCACTCTGGCCAAAGAAGGCCCTGCCCATAGTGTACTTGTGCCTGCCCACCAGCAATCTTGCATTTGACCTCCTAGATGGAGAGGTGACTGGCACAACGAGAGAAAGAAGGAAAGAAAGGAAGAAAGGAAAACAGATGTGTTGGGGGAGGTGGGAGGGCATGGGAAACCGTTTGGATTGTGTGTGTGTGTGTGTGTGTTTGTGGGTTTATTTTTTCACTGTGTGTGTGTGATTTATTAGTTTTGGTTTTTTTTTTTTTTCATTTTTTTTGTTTTTTTTTTCTTTCATTTTTTGTAGTTGTCTATAACTCCATAAGTTCTTTTCTTTTTTTTCTTCCTTTCTGTCTCTAAGTAAGTTGCAGGCTTTGGCTTGGAAATCCCCAGGGGGATGAGGGGCAGGAACCTGAGGCTGCTGCCCCTTTGTTTGCCTTCATGGTACTGTCCCTTCCCCCAGCTCTTCCTGGACCCAACGAGCCAGGCCTCAGCCCTTCCAGCTAACCGCTTCCCATGAGCCACTACTCTGATGTCAGCCTATAACCAAAGGAGCTGGGGGTCCAGGTCTGGTGACCAGCCCTTCTCAGTCCCCTCAATCAGGGTGCTCCCCACCTGCAGGCAGGAGGCAACACCCTATCTGCTGCCATCAGCCCCTTCCAGAGCCCACCTGTCCCGCCCAGCCCTGTCCTGCCCTGCCATACCCTGCTCTGCCCCATCTTGGGGTGCTCTGCTCAGGGATGGGCCGGCAGGGCTGTATCCAGTCTCCCTGGTGAGCAGAGACTCAAGAAAACCTCTGGGGTCCTGCTTCTGGTCATATGACCCCAGGGGGGACCCTTGGGCATCTGTACAGAAGGGACTGGGAGGGAGGGCCGCACCCTGCAGTCTCGCTCTGCTGGTGTAGCAGGCAGCTCCCCACCCTAACCCCCACCGCGGGCTCCTGAGTCGGCAGATTAAGCATTTTATAAATTGTATTTTAAATACATGTTTTAAACTTGTCAGGCATTTGTCCTCTTTTCTGGCTTCCTATCTCGAACTGTGGTTGCTTGTCCAGCCCTGGAGGGGGTTCCTGTTCTTGCAGAGGTCGGCTGCTTCCTAAGGCTGAGGCTTTCTGGTGTACTTGGCTTAAGTCCATCACTGTAGGACTCCCAACTCTTGAGTGGGGAGATGGGCGCTGCATAGGAAGCCCCCCACTCCCCCAGACAGTTTCAGTGAGTCCTGCCTAGGTTCTGACCTGGGGGCGGGGGGCATGCTGGAGCTTTGTAAGTCAAGTAGGGTGGTGAGAACTGGGGCTGAGACCAACATCAAGTGCGGAGGCTGAGGTTCTTGGTGTTTATTGGCTTACCAGGCCATGAAAGCAAACTCCCAAAACCATGCCCTGCCCCACAGCCCAGCTGTCTATAGGCCTTGAACTTCTGGAGCCAGGATTCCAGACGATCAGTGGGTTCGGGCTGGCACGGAGCTAAGCCACTTTCTGCTGTCAGAGCTGTGTTCCCTGGGGAGGAGAGGTGGGCAGAAAGAGAGGGCATATTTGGCCCTCTTCCCCTATTCCTGCCAGGTTCATGAGTCATCCCATGTACTCAGGGAGAGGCCGCTTCTGGATGGAGTGGAACCTGAGGGGCTGATCCCAAGCCCTAGGAACTCTGAAGGGAACATCTCCTTCCCAGTTTTCTAAGCTTCCCGTAATTCAACCAAGGAGTTCCCATGCTTGAGAAACAGGGAACACCACCATCCTGAGGACACTAGGGTCACAGCTGCTTAATGCTCAGGACACAGGCTTTCAGCAAAGGATGCTGTCTTTCCTGCCCTGTCTGTCCATCCATCCTCCCTGGAGTAAAGGATTTCCCAACATAGTCTCTTAGAAAGAGGCCCTGGCCCTCAGTACCCACCTGCTTCCTTGCTGTCCTGACTGGAAGAAGAGGCCATGGAGGTCAGGGCCCAGGCTTGTAGAGACACACTGATCCAGCACCGAATGGTTATGGCTACCCTGTTTTCGACGGACTGCCTTCTTCTCCAGCCGTGGGCAGAGTGGGATGCAGGGCACCTGGGCATAGGGGCTCTGCATATTGGCAGCTGGAATAGGAGGGAAACGAGAATTGGGAGCATGGCCAGCCTGGTGAAACCCTCGGTTTGCCACATAATAGAGTGAATTTAGGCGAACCCTTAATGTCTGAGCCTCTAAAGACGGAGAGGGTATTGGTATCCACTGCACAGTAGATGACAGGGATGTGTACGATGCTGAGGGCTAAGCATAGAGTCAAGGCTGGCCATAGCGTAAAGAAGCTTGCCCAGGAGAATAGGCACACAATTTGGGGGTGAACCTAAGTGCAAACTGCCCTTGCCGGCATACTAGCTGGGGAAGTCACTGAAGTTTCCTTAGTTCCCATTTCAGTCGAGTGTGGAGATTATAGGGCACACCTGCAAAGGGCTGCGCAGTAGAACTGACCCTGGCGGGCTCTCACACAGTAGTTCCTGGGACAGCCTCAGCTCAGTGGGAAGGTCGAGTTCAAAGCATGGAGCTGGATGTTGGGTGGTATAGACTAGCCCGACTTGGTCACAGTTCCCACACAGCTAACTCCTGGGCTTCATCTAGGGGAATCTGCTTGCCAGCCCAGGCTGCTCACGGGTCCATACCATAGTTCTGCTGCTTCAGCCGGCTCAGGATCCTGAGGACCCTTCGATCTGGGCCCTCTAAGCTGTCTGCTTGCTGCTGAGAGTTGTAAGGCATTTTCTTCCTCGATCGCAGCCCGCCCATAGTCGATTCCATCTCTCGGGTCTTGGGGGTGCCTTCCTTCAGCTTCTTCTGGTAGTAGCTGAGGAGGCAAGGCCTGGTAGCTCAACCTGGCTGTGGTTAATTCACCCCTTCCTCCTGACCCCCGCCCCCCAGTTCTGGCTGGGCCAGTTGTGGCAGTACTGAAGCCTGGGGAGTCAGGAGATGTAGTCCCCTTATGAAATACAAGGAAATGGTTCTGTCTGCCCTGTCGCTGCATGCCACTTCACGTCTGAGCTTCAGCTCTCCGCCACACTGCTAAGATGGGGGCTGGATGTGTGTATGCTGGAGGATTGCACATGGGATGAGACCCGTCTCGGCACCAGCCGTGTAGAGATTGGTATGTATTACACACTTTCTGTTACTTATGTTTTTGCTTAGATACATTTCTGCTTGTAAACCAGCCAAGCAGGGCTGGGGATGTGGCGCAACTGCTAGAGTGCTTGCCTAGCTTGCGGAAAACCTTGGTAAATCGTTAGGCCGAGCATGGTGGCAGGTGCCTGTAATCCTAGCACTCAGGAGGTAGATGTGGGAGGCTCAGCAATGCAGTCATCCTTGGCTGTAGCCAAGGTGAGTTCTAGGCCATCCTGGGATACCTGAAGTCCTTGTCTTGAAACAACAAACCCAGCCATGCAGCGGGCTCCACCTCATCTAAGCTGCTAGCCAGGCTCCCACCCCAAGCTTGCCTGCTTGCTTTTTACTTCTGTTTGGAGACAGATCTTCCTATATAGCCTTGGCTGTTCTGGAACTGGCTGTAGCCCAGGCTGGCCTCCAACTCATTTTATCCTTTGACCTCTTCTTCGTGCTGACATGACATTCATGAGCCGCTCATCACTTGCCTTTTACCTTACTGAGTGCCTACCCCAGCAAACAGTGTGTTAACTGTTTTCGCTGGCCTGGAGCAAAGGGCTGTCACACACAAGGACCCTGCGCATGTGTTAGCCCCTCTCACTCCAGCCCCTGCTGCAGCACTCATTTCTGTAGGGACGACTCAAAAGGCTGCCCTAGGATGCTTCGGACGCATGGAATGCAGAGGTTCACAGGAATTAAAGGGCCAGGAGTTGGAGGCCAGGGTATAATAAAGCATTCCCCTCTCTTCCCAAGATGCTGCACACAGTTCTTCAGATCCAGGGGTGTGCAACTTAGTGATGCGTCCTTGTCTTGCTTCTCCCTCTGCCACCTACCCCCTTCCCTTCCTTCTCCCTCTGAGTGAGCTGCCTGGACACAGAATGGCTGCCTTAGGCCATATTCAAAAGATACCACTGTGTGAGGAGTGATGGATGCTCTGAGGGAAAGGAAGGGATGGGGTAGTGACAAGGGGCTGTTTGCTCATGGTGATAAGCGGATGAGGCGGGTAGCAAACCCAACAGCCGTCTGGAGGAAGAGCCTTCCAGCCTTCATGGCCAAGGAATGGCACAAGCAAAGGCCAGGAGGTGGGAAGGAGGCCAGAGGAGCTGGAACCTGATGGCTGCTGAGTGCTATGAAGGCTGAGTATGCTCTTCAGGCCCTCAGGACTGGGTGCTGGCTCTGCTGGGGCCTCCCTATTCCTCATGGAAAGTGAGTTGAGATGATAGAAAGCCAGTTTTGGGCTGGAGACGGCTCAGAGGCCCTAAGTTCAATTCCCAGCCACCACACGGTGGCTCACAACCATCTGTAATGAGATCTGGTGCCCTCTTCTGGCCTACAGGGATACATGCAGGCAGAACACCATACATAATAAATTATTTCTATTTAGAGACTGGTCTTATAGCCTTGGCTGTCCTGGAACTGGCTGTTAGCCCAGGCTAGCCTCAAACTCATGGTGATCCTTTGACCTCTTGCCTCCTACGTGCTTATACAAAACACTGTATACATAATAAATCTTTTAAAAACAAAAGAAAAAAGCCAAGTCCACAGTTACCCATAGTCAGAGGTTGAATCTGTCTTTTCTGTGAAACCAAGGCTACCCCCAAAACAATACAGGGAAAGAAGAATAGAGAGGGTCACTTTGGCTCTGGGACTGAGAAGGCAGACTGAAGCTGGGCCAGTCAGCTCTAAAGTATATCACTTGTTCTTCCCTCTGCTTCCCTAGGAACCTGGGTACCTGGGCAGCTTTGTCTCCTTGCTCGCTGCTTCTAGTCCAAGAATAGTTCGAACTGGTATAAATTGTAGCCAACTGGAGACCTGCTCCTTAACTGACTTGCCCTATAGGTTTCTGTACCAGCTAGACTACCCAGTGAGCAAAGACTAAATGCACTGCCGCTGGCCGCCATGCACAGTCCTAGAAACCCTGCCTCCCATTCGTTGTCAAGAAACTTTGGTCTGGCATGAACCCCAAAAAAAGAAGGTATGTCCATGGAAAACAGTGCTAATGTAGAGGGACAAAAAGAGTTCATAACAGGACCGGAGAGATGGCTCAGTGGCTAAAAACACTTTCTGTTCTTCAGACTATCCAGGCTCAGTCCCCAGCACTCATGTCAGGTGGCTTAAAACTGCTTGTGACTGCAGCTACAGATACCTTCCCTGGCCTCCTGGGTGTACCTACACACACACACACACACACACACACACACACACACACACTGCCCCTGCAAAGGGCCTGGTGCACACTACAGACAGCTGGCTTGTGCCTTTGTAGTTCTTGACAGTCCCATGTAGCCCAGGTTGGCTTCTAACTCAGTGTAGCCAAGGATGGCCTTGAGCTGCTGATCCTTCTGCCTCCACCTCTTGAGTGCTAGGATTAGGGAGTCAGTTCTAAAATCAACTCTCTTGAAGACTTGCAGAACCAAAGGGTGAGTCGTTCAAGAAAATAACGTACTGGACCAACTGTAGCTCCGTGGGAAGGGCTTGCAAAGCGACAGGAACTAATTTGTGAGCAAAGTAGGGATATGCTTTTTTGTCTTTTTGAGACAGTTTCTCTGTGTAGCTGAGGCTGTCTTGGAACTCACTCGATAGACAGGTTGGCTTCGGACTCAGAAATTCGCCTACCTCTGCCTCCTGAGTGCTGGGAATACATCTTTGTATTGGCGTTTGTATAGTGGCCACAGAAACAGTTATGAGTCTTGGATCAAAGAAATCACCAAATTGTAAGAGTTGTTGAGCTTTATGGCTTGAACTCATTTGCATTTAGAGTGAGAAAAGGTGTTTCTGTTGCAGGCTGTTGAATGCCGTGCTGTGTGAAGATATATCTGTTTTAGCTCACCTGCCTGAGACACCTTCTGATTGGCTTAATAAAGAACTGAACAGCCAATA